GGGGGGGGGGGGGGTGGTGGTGGTTCACGAATCACGGCGGGATGAATTGGCTGGCAGGCAGGGCTGGTCCCATCTGGATAAGGATGATGTAGAGTTGTACAGGTACGGTACGGAGCACTTGCAGTTCTGGGCACGGCCACAGGAATTGATTAGATGGTAATGTTGAGTGAGGTGAGGCTAGTACTCGTACTGGCTGGTTCCAGAGTGTGGGGGTTCATGGCAGAGGAGCTGGAGATCGACTTCGGAGGAATCGCAGGCCCGTGCTGCAGCGGTGCTTCGACATGGATCGCCTGAACGGGTATTGGGTAGAGATAAGCAGAGTTTGCTGCTGTGCATACCTACACCATCCCTAGCTTAGCCCAGACCTATGACAGGACCAGTGAGTACTTCCAACTACAGTACATAAGCATAAGTACTTTGTAGATACTGTGCAGGACAGCAGAACAAGCAACCAGAGAAGTCCCCCGCCCCCCACCATACAGCACCCGGTACTTGCAGTACTTGGCTATGTACCACGTACCCGACCTACCCTGACCTGACCCACGGGCGTGAAATCACCTGAAAAAACACCTCATAGTACGAGCCTTGCAGCCTGTTGTGCTCCTTCGGCTCTGTCCTACGTTCTACAGAGATACTCTCTGACTTCTCACCTCCTCTAGCATCCTAGCATCTGAGGTACTTTATGTTCAGCTATGGGCGGGGGTCAATAGAGGGACGAAAATAATACTCTCACCCCCACGAGACGTCCACTATTCCACTTCTAAGACTACGTATAGAGTATATGTACCAGTACTCAAGTACTTCGTCGCATCGTGTGGGGTGCGGAGGTGCGGAGGTGCGGAGAAAAAGAGGATCTGTACCTGTACTTGACAATAATAATGCGATAGTACTCGGGATCTGGTACGGGCAAGTGGAAGTATATTGGTCTGCATAGCAATCCTCTCTAGCCATTTGTTGCGATACGACGGATCGAAAAGTACGTAGAGATTCTAGCGAGTAGATGCCTTATACTGTAGGAGCGGGACGAACCGCTCTGCATCTTGTGCTCGTCCAGGGTACCCAAACCCTTTTTTGGGTTCTGGTACTGTCAATGTTGACATGTCAATACGTGTCTATCTAAACGACACGTTTTACCTTAATTGTCTCTTTCAGACATACATCAGATATCCCTATTCCAGCTATCAGTTCCCCCATCGCAAGTGCTGCATACAGAGTAGTATTTCGATAAACAACTTTCTGCCTTGAACAAGGCGGGCTTGAAAATCTTTCCTGACCGAGTTTACCACCGAGATTACAAGATTCTCTGCACAAATGACGCCTTGATATCCCTTCTCTCGGTTGTGACTACGACGTTTGTTGGGTTTACACCGTTACGGTCAGATCGCAACCTTGTCTCTACTACCCAGTACTTGCGTAGATTTCCAATCATTACGAGTGTGCCAGAGATCGCTCGTGGCGTCATTAGCTCTCGCTTTTCTGTCCCTGTTTATAGTAAAGAGTAACAAGCGAGACAAGGCCACCCTGGTAAGTGCACCTGTACCCAGTCAGGGCAGGTATGTCTCTTATATTTTCCGGCGTCTCGAGGGCGGGAATTTTCGATGAGCACGTTTTCTTTTATTTTCTCTCCTCATCGACTCAAAACACAGCATGCGAGGGGGTTCACGAACCGAGAAATCGGGATGTGAGAAGCAAAGATAAGAGTGTTGTACGGAGAGACATGAATCTATACCGTAGTACATATTAGCGGTAACGCGATGTCGGATAGATGACAGAAGTGCGTATCAATCCTGTCAATAATGTTGCGTACCACAAACAATCCCCTGATGCGTCTTGGTTTTTCCTCCCTATCTGCAGTTGACAGGTACGAAAACTCGGAGCATTATTTCGACCCCACGTCCACGGATCCAACAACTGCAGTCCTGGCCCGGTAACATGCAAAACGCCCAAGTCCCATCTTCGATGTCTGGTTGCATTCCCATCTACCACCATCATAGCATTTTCATTGGGGCGTGGGCGGGTGTTGGCAATAATGTATGAGGAAGGCATCATTTATTATAGTTACACCCAATATCCTATTACATACTCTTGACGTGAACATCCCGCGGGAGGCTGACATTAAGGAAAGAGACAAACTTGACGGGTAACGGTTCGCCACCCGCAGTCGGAATTTGCTTTAGCCATGGCTGCAGGTTTCCCAGATTTGCGATGCGGCAAGATATTGGTGAAATCGGCCGACTTGTGACTACGTCTGTAGGGTGTCTCATCTCGTGTGGATGAAGTAACGATTACCACGGCCCTTCCGAATGGTCACAGAGACGAGCATTTCTGTAATCTGATCCGACAAGGAACAAGGAAGCAGTCGTACCACAGTCGAGTTGAGATCTCGGGGTTTTTTATATCATGCAAGAACTAGAGTCTGATTGGTACCATCAATAAAAATCCTCAATTTGATAAGCGACTTTCGAATTGCTCTTATTATCGAATCGAGAGGAATGTAAAATTTTGTGTTTAGGGGGAGATTCTGAATGGACGGGACTCTGACGGGTATTATGAAATGTCTTTCGATTCAGCCACCTGGATCTGATCCAGATATCGAGTGGCGAGATTTGTCCATTCCCCACGTCCTGGATTTCTGGCCACATTATATTATTGCACAGTACACTTCCTCCAATGATTTTCTGTCGTCGTCGCACGAACGACCACGCTTGGATCGATCAACTTTTGACAAACGGTCTTCAGATCTCCGTCTGCTCCTTTGGGCTATGTGCAGAAGCCAAGGCTGGATTGCGGCTCCATTAATACCTTCCGATTCCTCTAACGAGAAATCTTTCGACATAAGAGGAAGGGCATTTGCTTGGAAGGCAGCTGGAGTTCTAGATCGGAAATTGTGCGTCTGAGTTTGAGCACGTGAGCGAAAACTTGTTTGTGCCCAGATTTTTGGCAAAGCCGTCTGCTTCTTTAGTTTTGAATGCCACTCAAGACGATGACCATTCTTCTGAGGATGTTCAATGGTGGATCCTATGAGAGTTTGTGTTTGGAATTAAGGTTTCATATCACGTGTATTGCACACTGGGAGTGTGCAGGAGTGTGTTGTTCCGGCTCCACCTTCTTGACTACCTAAGTACCTGGGTAGAGAAAAGAGACTTGGAAATTCGGTTCAACTGTTCTGAAAAGCTTGTATGCAGGTACTGGTACTCCATAATTTCCTCATCTTCAAAACATAAGTTGCAGGAACCTTTGTACGGAGTGCCTTTTGGAAAAGTTTCAACTGTTTCGTCGTCACTCATTGTGGTCGAGTGGTCGAGTGGAACCATCAGGAAGACCCACCTCGATCATATCAACAACGTGCAGGTAGATCTGACGGAAGATATGGATCCATATCCAACTTTCTCCCGGGTAAATGGAAACTGGAATCGCACAATTGGTTTTGAAAATTCAATTCCTTCGACCATTATCAAACATTGAAACCCTTCGAACAAGTTATTCTCACCGTTGGCATTTCGGCTATTAGATCGCTTCAAGATCTTGGATTTGCGTCTGGAATTTCACATGTCAACCCTTTGAATTGCGAACAATTACATCACACCCTCATAATTTCTCCGTTCTGTACACTTGTACACCGTTTCAGGAACATGCAAAACGCATCGATGCCAATGTTCTAGTCAGGTACAAGTTACCCCGGAATGGAGCCGCAATGACTCAACTGAAGAAAAAATCTCCATATTAGACTTCATTCAATACTTCTGAATACTTCCAATTGGTTGTTTTCATATTCATTTACAAGGGCCGTTGGCTTGGGGTGACTCAACATCAACGATGAACGAGTCTGATTGCAGCGTTGACCTTTTGAAGGCATGAACGTGGAAATGATTGGCTCACCGCTACGTGGTGGTTCGTTTCCTGCAGGTTCAACCACTCCCAGAGCTCGGTTAAGCGCGAGCTTGGGCTCCTTGGGGGCAGGCATTTTACAACGTTCACGAAAAAACGCGAAAGACTTCACTTCTGCAATGTTTTGGGCTGGCTCCCTATATATGGGAGTTGATCCCCGTGATGTTTTGATTCTGTTCAGTACATCACTTTTTGTGACTTTGCATATTTTGCGCCATATATTTGAAAGCAATCCGCATCAGGCTATTAGCCGAAACGCACATATACCCCATCATTTCAGAAGTTCAAACAACTTCTACATTATCACTTCAATCCTTGTATACAAAACAAGTCCAATCACCCCATACTCATCATGCCTGAATTCCACGACGCAGTTGTCACTCTCCTCGATGCCTTTGCGCACGGCATCTCCACCATCAAAACACAAAAAACCCGCCGACCCAAAAACAGTTCTTCCTCCAGCCCATCGCCAGAAAGACTCCTGAGCAAATCTCTCAAGAAAAACAGAAACAAAGTGAGAACCGCCTATGAACAAGACTTTGAGCGATTCGGTTCCAAGTTCGCAGTGGGCGATGGTAAGTCTGCTCATAACTATACATCCCAAGTCTGCGAATACCATCTAACTCACCATTAGAAGCAGCACGCGTAAACTTAGCAGGGATCTTGACCCGTCTAACTACAGGTTTTCTGTCCGTCTTTAACCGCTTTCTTCGCGGGAAGAGTACGGCGACTGACTATCAGACTTTGTTAAGTCTCTCGGATGTCTCGCGTCGTGAGACGATTCGAACATTTGACATGCTCTCAGAAAGGCTGAGTGCGTCCAGCTTGGAGCTGGCGACTGCTAAGGAGAAGGATTACTCAAAGAAAAAGCGTAAGAAGGGACATACTACCACATCGAAGAGTTCGAGTGCCAGCCGAGCGATTGCGGCCTCGAAGGGTGGTAGGAAGAGGAGTAAAGGGAAGGATAAAGCCGTGTCGGCGTTAGCTTCTGCTGGGGTAAGTTATTCCTTTCTGATTGTTGACTCTTTTTCTTCTTGCTTTTCTTGGTTTGATTTCGGAAAATTGGTGTTGGCTTGAATGTGATTTTGATATCTCGTGACTGTAAGAATGAGACGAAGCAGAGCGCCATTGGATTTTACGGTCTCAGTGAGCCGAAACAATCGGGGAGGAAACCAACGATGTTTCTTTTACATACCCTGTGGCTCTAAAACTTCCGTGGCTCTATTGAGTGGGAGATGATACCTGATACCTAGCCCAGAGCGACTGTGTATAGAACGTAAAGTACTTCATGTCGAGCTCTGCGGTACAGATATATACTTATCTACGTACCATAAATGATGATGGAAGTTTGGATGACTGTGTGAACAAATCTAAAGGAGTTTGATATTTTTTCATGAATCCTATAGACTTGATCACACAGTGACTCCAAAGTAACTACAGTTTACTTGCGTGGAGGATGTTAATGTCATGTTCTATGTTTTTAAGGGAGGGATCAAAAACTCCTTTCCCTAACTTTCGTTTTGTCCTCACAACACCTCACTACTTTCTCAACTCAACCTTAAAACAAATACCTCCATCCAAATACTAACCTCATCCAGTGGGTCCGAGCAAAACCAAAACACACCTCCAGTAGGAAACTTTCCAAACGCACCACCACCATCCCCCTCCACCTCCTCGAGGCCCCTTCAGCACCCCAACAAGACCCCGCAATCCTCGCACCACCCTGCACACCCCCACCTCGCTACGACTATGACCCCAATCCCCTCTCCCAATACCAAGTCTACCAAATCCCCCAAATGCGCTCTCAAATCCGCATGTCCCCAGATACCAAATTCCCACAACCCTCGCTCAGCAACCATCCCGCATTCCGCTCCCAACAGCCCCAGCCCTCATCGGATTCCAAAGGTCCGCCCTTGGATCTTAAGCGATCTCTCGCAAGGAAGGAGCTTAACAGAAAGTCGTATATGAGTTTCCAGTCGGATAGTACTAAGTTGGGCGAGATTCCGGAGTCTAGATGGAGTCGGCCGCCTGTTGGGAGGGAGGGGAGGAAGGAGTTTGAGGTTCAGGCTTATTTTCCGCTTGGGGGTAATACTTCTCCGAAGCCTGCTAAGCAATCTAGGCTGAAGAGGTTCTTTGGGAGGTCGTGAAGTGGTTTGCTTCGCTTACAGTCATTAAGTTTCCTTTGTTTTCATAGCGGAAGGAGTATGGTGGAGTTGATTTTCGGATTTTTTGGACACGGGCATGTCTCTCTGATTTTCTTTTGTTTGGGATTCTTGGGGGTTATCGCTTGATGATTGAGAAGACCTCGATCTCATTTAGGAGCTTTGGTTCGGCGTTGATGGATTAATTGGAAGTGATGAGTTGATATTCGTAAATAGCTGTAATAAATTGAAATAAATCATTGATGACAAACGCCTTCCTGATATGAAGATCAGTCTCGGGAATCCCAATACTGTACATATAAAAGACCCGTACATTACTCTGAACACCCCTTAAACCCCCATTGTGTTAGAACTCCTCCTACAATCAACTTAATGGTCCTAAATAACTTGGATTAATAGAGATATATTAATTTGAATTATCCTAAATGACTCTCGTAATAATATCAGTTGGGCGAGGCTTTTAGAATAATATATTATTCTAATCTAGGTATGTCCTGAGCAATGACCGCGACTCTTACCGTGAAAAGGTTCTCAGGGAAAACGGACTAAGCCTTTTAACAGTTAAGTCAAACGGCATCTCGGGAAACCGAATTATATTCTCCTCCAAGGTCCCTGGGAGAATAAATAACGTTCTCGACAACTTAGGTAATGAATCATCAGCATTCATTTGATAAGTTTGTGGAACTCACTCATTGAGCATTAAGCGAGAGGCGAGCACATTGTAAGAGATCTAGTTTTATTAAGTAGAATAAAGCGTATGTAGATCAAGAAGTCATGTTCTTGGATATCTAAATAGCTGAGTGTATAGTTGTCTTGAATAACCCTAGAGTACGCTGGTCCTTATTACATGCATAGCCCAAATCACTGGTCTGGTTATTTGTTTCTTTACCATGACATCGCTCGGCGCGATATTTATTTCACTAACGACACCATGCGACACGAGGTGAAATAACAAGCGTGGCGAATTGGATTGTAGAGAAAGATTCCGACCAAGAATGGGGACCGAAAGTAGCAGATCACTGGCGGATGTTACTGATATAATATAGGACACCCAAAGTGAACCACACCAAAACCGACATTTCCAACGCTCGGCAAATGGAACCATATTCTATAGAATTCTAGGTGGAATATTCTATATAGAATACTTCTAAAGATTAGTCTCTAGAATTCTAGGAGTTCTATATAATTCCAGATGTTTTTCTAGCTAATTAAAATCTAGGATTCCGGGGCAGTTTTTAGTAAATAGAAATACTAGTACCTAGTAGTTTGCTTAGTAATTAACCACATATAAAGAAGGATTAGTAAGTAATAGTACTAGATACACTCTCTATATTACAATATTCTGAATTAGCTAGAGTAGTTAAGGTGCCCGACCTACTACCTAGTGGGTATGTATCTATGGATATATAAGCCAAATTTGAGCTCCTATTGGTTTGTCGGACTAGAAGGACTTTTTTCCGGGTCATATAATAAACTCCATCTAGAAATTCTATATATTCCATAGAATAACTCTACTTAAATCTTAAATAGTATAGAATTGTTCTAGAGGGGGGGGTCTAGAATAGAAAGGAAGTCCAGATCCCGAGGGTTGGACATTTCGACCTTAGTTAGAAAACTCTTTAGATTAGTAATATAAACTATATCTTTAATAGCGGTATAGAGTAATCAGACCAGGTGAATAAGAACGCACTTACTGAAATTTTTTATATAAGCCTTAGCTAAGTGTTATTACAAGGGGCTAAAATAAGCGAGCCAAAAATCGAAACTGCCAAGACCTTCGACATATGTGAGCCCCACATTTTATATAACTGTACATAAATAAAGCTAGTAAGTGCGTTCTGTTCAGCTAATTAAGGCGCGTCTTTTGATACATTACAATTACTAATCAGTACTGTTATTGTTGTGGTTTTGTGGTGGAAGTGTGGAAGTGGTCGAGAATTAGTTTTGGTGTGGTTCACTTTGGGTGTCCTATATTGTATAAGTAACATCCGACCGTCTTCACCAATCCGCTGGACGTGACTTGAATAGCCATAAAGTTCACAAGGAGTATAAACGAGTGTCAATTGTATCTAGATGGAACTTGGCCGTTCCTAAATGCTCCTGCTCTTCCAAAAGATTGTTCCATATCTCAGACCTCAATTCTACGCCCTGCCTAAGAAAACCATCGTATCTCATAAAATGCACCTCCACATGTCTAATCTCGACAACTCAAGAAGAAGCTAAACTCAAGTTCCTATCACAGCATTAGCCCTCTTCTTAACACCAACAAGTCGCCTCAGAAACCGAAGACTGTTTTCACATACCTTTGAATCTAACCTAGAATGGTAGTGATATTGCTCACAGCCTCAAGCTCTTCGCCCTCACGACAAGTAGGGCAACTGCAATCCGAATTGAGACCCGCACCACGGCAGCAGCTCTGGAAATTGCTCAAGCGGTTGGAGATGGAACTAGCCCTGCAATCCTCTCCACTGATGAAGGTTCCTTGGTTTTGGCTGCAGCAAAACTGGGTTTGGCCGATGTTGTTTGCGCCTCCATTTGGATTGACGCACTTGCAGGCGCTGATGAGGAGGGGTGAAAGGGAGAGTAGGGTTGTAGTAGAAAGGAAGAAGAGAGGCTTGAATTGCATTTTTGGGTTTGGAAATATATGTGGGATATGTGTGAGATAATGAATAAGGTAAGGTGCCCGTGGTTATAGCAAAGCAAGGCAAAAGGAAGTGATGGGATGGGATTCGAAATGTGCCAGAGAGGCCATGTTTATATACTCCAAAATCAGGTAAGAACAAATTGAGCCTTTCTTGCGGTTCCTACTTTGGTCTTGACCATGTAAGCATTTCGATATGATGAATACATATTCGATCCGCGGGTGTGTCGTCTCAACACATTTCTTTCTTTCACCGCTAGTTCCACATCTGATGTCCTTCTTGAGGGGTTGTTTTGCTGTTCAGTATGGGAGGTGTTCATCCTATGTTTCTAGACTAGCCTCATATGAACATTCATGTCAGCTGGCTAAGAGCATCCAGAAGCATCTGACAACGCTAGCAAAGATGTAGCTCGTGAATACTTGCTCTGTGTAAGATTTCATCATTATATTTGGGAGAGGTGAAAAGTCAGCGTGTGGAACGATAGACATCAATCGAAGAGCAATGTGAGAATTCTCACTTTTAAGGAATGATATAATTGAGACGTATGAGCGCAACCACCAAGCGACCCAAAGAAGACGTTTGTTATAAATATATCGACTGCTATCAATTAGAAGAAACAAATAAGTGCAGATTTTGGTATAAACATCGTTTGTGATATGTGCTAAAGGCAGACTTGGGCACGATGACGATATTTATCGGATTATCGCAATATTTATCGCGATATATCGCCGATATATATTCATACAATACCAATAATTTATCGTTTGAAAAGTGACGATATCGATATTTTATACCTAAAATTAGCATATTTTAGGGTTATTTTAGGAGGGGTTTTCGGGGTCAAATACTATTATTAAAGAGATAAAAAGATAACAAAAGACAGGTAAATAAGTATTGGGTTGAAAGGGTATTGGGTACTGAAGGTCATGGAGAATTGATTGCATTATAAAAGGTAGCTATCTAAGGTGTTTACATAAAGAGTGTAAGGTTTAGGCAGACATGAAGCATTTAGGCAGCAGAACTATAAGTGGATCAAATAAGGAAGTGGAGCAAAAGAGAAAGTAGACCCAGCACAACAATAAGGTATAATTATAATAAAACAAATCGATTAACGTAGTCCACAAGCGAATTGGATTCCCAAGCGAGATGGATTTTTTTTCTTGGCACTCCAAAAATTGACAAATATGGGATTCAGGAGGGGGATATTTATAACTTTGACGAGACTGGGTTTTGTATGGGCCAAATTACATCAGAAATGGTTGTTACAAGTACCGAAAGACTTTCTCGGCCTCGTACAGTACAGCAAGGAAACCGGGAATGGGCAACAGTAATTCAAGGTGTTGGGTCGTACGGCTTTGTAGTGCCTCCATATATCATTTTGGCGGGGAAGAACCACCTCTCCTCCTGGTACGAAAACAGCCAATTACCACGCGACTGGGTAATTGCTGTAACTACAAATGGCTGGACAACAAATGAGCGAGCCCTAGATTGGATTTTTCATTTCGATCGGCATACAAAGCTTCGTACGAAGGGCATTCACCGGCTGCTTGTGCTTGATGGCCATGAAAGCCACCACTCAGTCGATTTTGAGCTTTTTTGTAAGAGTAATAACATTATTACTCTTTGCATGCCAGCTCATTCCTCTCATAGACTCCAGCCACTCGATGTAGGATGTTTTCGAGCGTTAAAAAGGTCGTACGGTGCTGAACTTGAGAAATTAATGCGACTCCACATTACATATGTTTCTAAGGAGGATTTCTTATCAACATTCTATACTGCCTTTCGTACGACAATGACTGAATCAAACATTCGAGGAGGATTTCGAGGATCTGGCTTAGTGCCGTACGACCCAGATTCTGTGATTTCACAGCTTGATATACGTCCAAGGACTCCGTCACGTCCATCTACCTCAACAAGCCTCCTAGCTATTTGGGAACCAAAGACCCCAAATAACATAACAGAGGCATATTCCCAGACGTCATATATACAAAACAAGGTCGTACGACACCAAGATAGTTCTCCGACCCAGATTCTATATGGCCTAGACCAGCTTGCAAAGGGTGCACAGCGTGCAATCACTGAGGTAGCTTTATTACGAGCTGAGAATGCTACACTTCGTACAGCAAATGATCAACTTAGTCGGCGTCGTCGTACGAAAAAGCGCCGATTACAGGAAGGAGGATCACTTACTCTCTAAGATGCGCAGGATTTAGGGGTCCTTAGTAATGTTGATTCGCAAGAACAAGTGGTTTTAGTAGAAAATAGTAATTGTACGAGCCCGAGTCTAGTACCTCGCCGGCGCTGTGGACTATGTGGGAAACATGGCCATAACATACGAACTTGTCAAAAAGGAGAAGAAATATGTGAGGATTCCGATTCTGAATACTGTAATTAATTTAATTAATTGTGTCGTGAGATATTTAAGAATTTATAATATGCCAAGAAAAAAATCTATTTCGCTTGGGAATCCAACTCGCTTGTGGACTACGTTATATGCTAGCGTTTAATAATCCTACCTTCCTTATTAATTTCGACCTTAATCTCGTCGTCGCTATCTAGTATAATACCTTAGCTTTATAAGTATAATATATAACGAACGTTCTTACTATAAATAAGACCCCTTTTTCGAGATATGAAATTACCGGCCTTACTAAATACTCGTTCTAAGGGAGCGCTTGTTATAGGAATTACAAGATAATCTAGAGTAATTTATATAATTATAGGAAAGTTATCTGTCAGGAATCACGTGTTCACGTAATGCTTGTTATAATAAGAGGCGCAACCCTCGACAGGCACGTCTAGGTTTCTTATAGCGAATAAGGATCGCTTAGGACAGCTAAGCGATCCAGGGATTTTCATTGCTTACGGTCACGTGACTGGAGCGACTGGCGCTCTTGTCGCTTATAATAGAAACGAAGGTTCTATATAAGACTAGCACGTCTGCTATTAGATAGGAGCTTCGTGCTTAACTTAGTTATTAATCTTATCTTATTGTTTAATATCTTTAATACAAGTAACGAGTTCACTTCTAAGTAAACAACCCGATAGTCTTCTTCTTATCATAGTATACTAACCAGCGAATACCTAGCCAAGTTTAGTTAGCCAGTTTGAGTATTCGTTACATTATCCTAGTAGTATATAAGGAATTAACGTATATCTTCTAGGGTAGAGTTCTTTTCGATTATACCCTTCTCTAGCTATCTATCTAACTCGTCTCGTCGTACTATTGGTATCGCGGGTTTACTAGCCTCGTAGCCCTAAAAAGGATTATTTCGAGACTTATCCTTAATTGAATACTCGGATAATAGTAACGAATTAGAATCCGATTTAGTATTAAGTTAAGCTTGAATTACTACTATATAAGTAATCTATATTTCGTATATAACGATATTTTTAGTACGAGTTTTATAGGCGTTATAGACGTACTTAAAGTAAGCCTTCGACTTTTTATAATTAGGCGTATCTATACTACCTACTACTTTGTAGGGATATTCGAGAACTTATAGTTTATACTATAGGTTATAAATGATAGCTACCGATACTTATTATATAGCTATATACTCCTTATAGTACGTGACGGTTCTAACCGTCACCACCATTCGGATCACGTGGTCTCGCTTAGCGACCCACACCAAGTATTTAGATCGAAGCTCTCTCGAGCTCTCCTCTTCTCCTCAGCTTAGAATCATTGTTTAATTGACAGTTCTACGATTCCACAACCTACACCGTGGGCCTTGCGTACGTGTCGTCACAGTACGTGTTTATCTTATCTAGGGTAGCTTTCGCTACGATTCAAATAATCGGTTACTTATTATTATAAATCTAGATATTAAGTATTGGGTTGAAAGGGTATTGGGTACTGAAGGTCATGGAGGATTGATTGCATTGTAAAAGGTAGCTATCTAAGGTGTTTATATAAAGAGTGTAAGGTTTAGGCAGACATGAAGCATTTAGGCAGCAGAGCTATAAGTGGATCAAATCAGGAAGTGGAGCAAAAGAGAAAGTAGACCCAGCACAACATTAAGTTATTATTATAAATCTAGATATTAAGTTATTATTATAAATCTAGATATTAAGTTATTACTAGAGCTATAGATTTCTAGTATCGAGTTATAAAGTATAGGATATTTCTTAGCTTATATTTAAACCGTAGGATAATAAAATAGATTAAAAAACAAAGCTATATCCTTAAGAGTTTTCTAGTCCGAGTTATCTAGGGTTTATATTAGCTTTATAGACTTATCCTACTATTATTTATATAGGATAGACTTAATTATAGGTACTATCTTTAGCGCGGCGGATAGTATCTAATTAGTAGAATTCTATTATACTAGTATATCGAATATAAGCTTAACGAACGTTATCTTCTTCTTTTTATATACTTCTTTTAGCTCGAAATAAGTAATCTTTTATAACTTAAAAATAAGATAAAGGTATCGAAGTTTATAGAAGATGTTAAGCTCTTAAAGGCCGCCGTCGAGGGTAGGAGTTTATAGTATTATATTATTATAGGGTAGAATATATTTAGATCCGTACTACTATAGTACTACCTTAATAGCTTCGAGAGCTTATAAAGTTGTTAGTGTGACGGTTATGGTCACGAGGGCTGGATGTCACATGCTCGCTTAGCGAGGCGCTAGCGCGCACGACCTGTATTTAGTTCCCAGCTCACTAGAGCTCTCCTTCTTTCCTCGTCTTTTGTCCTAAGAATAGAGTGTTAATTGTTCTGAGTTCTACCTGAAGCACGTCTGTCACACTCGGCGAACTTTAATATAGGATTTATAATTAAGATACGAAAGTAATAAGGATTAATTAGTACTTAAATTATAGAAGTATATTATTTTAGGTAGTCGAATATTATTAATAACTAATAGATAGTCTAGAAATAATAAACTCGATTATATTATAGTTATAGTATACTAGTCGAATAACAACTTTACTCTCGAATCTATACTTCTAGATATTATTAAAATAATTAATCTCTTATATAATAGATAAGTTCTAGTATAAAAGCTCCTAGAGGTTATAAATCGACTTAATATTACGTATTTAATTCTTTTAATTACCTAGGATAATATAGTACTAAATAATACTATACTAGACGAGTTCTAGACGAAGGTTAAGAATTAGTAGGAGTTACTTCTAGAGGACAAGTAATTATAATATACGCTTAAGTTTAATCGCGTAAATAGTAATTAACGTTATTACGCGTATATGTATAATCTTAGTATTTAAGCTAGTAAGTTTTATTAAATTCTACCTAGCCGCTTCTAAATATTCTCCTTAAATTATAAGTTTCTTAGTATTTTACTAACTGTGACAGACGTGCTTCAGGTAGAACTCAGAATAATTAACACTCTATTCTTAGGACAAAAGACGAGGAAAGAAGGAGAGCTCGAGAGAGCTGGGAACTAAATACAGGTCGTGCGCGCTAGCGCCTCGCTAAGCGAGCATGTGACATCCAGCCCTCGTGACCATAACCGTCACACCGAGATACTTACTATGTTTTAGAGGATAAGAATAATATAAACTCCTTTATTTCCGGCTATATAACAAAGTCGAATAAGAGGTTATTTTTAATAATTAAATTAATAAGTAATAGCTAATAGCGTTTATTATAGGTTTACGAATTTAGTAGTATGTTAAATATACTCTTTAGCTTATTTCGTATCTCTAGGGTAATCTTAGAGGCTTATTCTATTATAGGAATAAATAGATAGTTCTAGTAATAGTAGAACTTATAGTTTCTATTAGTAACGATTTTATAAGCGATTTTCTTCGAGTAAGAAAACCTAAGCTATATATAACGGATTTCTATATAATTATAATACTTATCTATTATATACTATATATAGAAAGGGTTTAGTTATCGAAAAATAAAAGTATTAGAGCCCTTAAGCTTCGGAGCCTTTCTTCGACGTACGGGGGTAGTATAGGCTCGTTAGCTATTATATTAGCTTAGGCTCGTTTTAGTAATTATTCGCGACCTCTAAGAGGGTTTCTATGAGGGAGACTAGGTATAGAGTTAAGTAGTAGTATTTTTAGTTAAATTTAGAGCGTTATAGTAATAATAATAGTAGTAGTCGTAGTAGTATTATTATCTGTTAGGGCCTAAAGAGCTAGGGAGCTAGGGAGAATAAAGCATACTAACTAGTCCGGAGATAGATTTATAGTTTTTCTAGGTCACGTGTAACAATAATTAATATTATATCGGATATTGTTAAAAAGCAGATATTGTATCGTCTATATATTTACAATATAATAATTATCGTAGACCTCCGCCCCCGATATCGAAACGTTTATATCGTGCCTAAGTCTGGCTAAAGGAGTTGAAGCGTTCGAGTACTTATAGTACTCAAACAAGTGGGTCTACTGCACGGTATGACCAATCAAAATGTCGAATATATCACAACAAAAACAACAGATGAACAAGACACTCATATAAGATAGATAACGAACTTTTTTATAGCGAGTGGACGTTGGTGGAACTACTGATGAGGAGTCCACCAGAGTCCAAAGGGGGTTCACCAATTGTTCAATTGCTATTCCGCTAAGATCCACAATCATGTTTAGGAAATCTGGCCGTAAATAACGTTCCTCGTAAATCAGAAAACCTGGGTTTGTAAGTTCAGTGACCGTGAAGAGAAAATTCGAGGTATTTCTGAACGAAATGAAACACGGATAACCTCCCCGCGTTTCCGAAATTATCCTTCAAATTGAAGTCAGCATGTAACCTAACAAAGGGCGCATAACTCAAAGCTTTCCACTGCCAGTTTTTTATATGATTTACGCATGAGTGAGGCTTACTATAGTACTACTCTGACCTTCTCGATGGCTTGGGCTTAGAACATCCTTGAGAATTTCTCCACGCACGACGACTCGCGGAGTTGAGGGTTTCTCCGATTCGGACTCAGAAATCATTCCGCTCGTAAAAGATGACTATTTTTGGCTCACAAATGGTGAGTTTGGACGTAATGTGTGGAATCTAAGAGAAAATGATGGAGACAAATTTTCGGTTGGCTGAGGCATACGGACCAATGAATTGGAGGAAAGGAAAAGGAACGACTTGAACTAAAAAGAGAAGACAAATGATAATGTCTGCCTTATAAATTGAAAATTTATGGCCTTCCCACTCTCTTCTCGGTCACGTTTTTCAAGAAAACCTGGAATGGTTCTCATGGAATCGAATTAGAAGCACCCGGAGAACCATTCTAACTGTGTTGTTCCGAGTCGTTCAAGATGTATCTCTAAAACTTTAACATGCCCTTTTTTAGCAACATAACGGAATACTGTGTCGCCGAAATAGTCCATGTGGCCTGAGACATTTTCCTTCGAATTCTCACTCGATTCCAAAGCATCGAGTAGACGGCGTGCAACTTCCCGTGCTCTGCCCCTACAGCACAATCTTGTGGTCGAATACGGAATAAATTTTCCAAATTAAGATCTATATTGTACTCAAGGAGGAGCGAGAGAATTTCTCTTGAATTGGGAAACGGAGCGGGGTCCAGAGCTCTTCTCAAGTTGCGGAATGGACATGTTCGGGTGTTTTCAAGACCAGTTGTTTACGTTGTCGAAGATGGAAGGTTACAGCAAATTTTATGGTGACACTTCTGGCAAATAGCTTGGTTCCCAGCCCACAAAAATCCCAAATCCTTTCGTATCCCTAAATACCGCTTCTCATGCTTCTAAAACTTAATATTATGCCGCCTGGTTAAGTCACCACGGCGCTAGGCTTGAGCCTCTTTGCTATAGATACTGTTCCCTGCGAAAAAGAATCCGGCCTTAAGTCTGTATAGGGCGAAAAGATTGGTGGGGTTTTCCCTTGCTGTAGGCGAACCCTACTGGTTCGTCTAAGGGGAAGGGATAAGGGGTATCGGGTGGGTAGAGTCTTCCTGTTTTTTCAGACGGATAAGGTTCCTTTTTAAGGGGTTTGAACGTTTCTAATCGCTAAGGAGGGAAGTGTATATTGGTACCTAGTCACGGTAGTTGCTTTAGGTAAGTGCGATTAGTCGCGTTGCGATATAAAAACAAGGTAAGGATCATCGACGCATTCTTCGCTAGATCATGGACCGAGATACCTTCGTAGTATTGTGTCCTTTACCTGCTGCACCGAGGAGCTAGTTTTCGAGGCATGATCGACCAGGTTTCATCCATTATTAACACCGATTTAAGTTTAATTCCTAAAACCACCAGATATCCAATCAAGACTTAGCGATCCAGCTTTGAACATGGCTGTTTTGGCCAGTGGTATCAGGCATAAACAATGGGTATATACACCATATATAGAATCGAAGAAAAGACTCAGCAATGTATATTCTTCATCTGAGACATGCTAGAACCTGATGTTAGAGGAATGTGAGAAAGAAAAAAGAGAAATCTTGAAATAAAGTGTAGATATTTCAAGAGATAATTATCCGCGTTTATATAATTTCGAGTCTCGCTCCACAAAAAAGAAAGAAAAGCACATGATAGGCTCACCAAACAACGCTAAGATCCCTATGTATAATAACCGTCCCAGTCCATTCAAATACTGGAACATGGAAGAAGCGATCGAAAAGTACACAGAGTAATGACTAAATTCGCACGCGGGAAGAGTAAACGCAGTCGCCAAGAGAAGAAGAAGAGGGCTGTATAGGGAGAAGTTGAATACAAAGAAAGCCGTGGGTGGGAATAAGCCTCTACACAAAAAATAGACACGAATCAATTATTACGTTCCATTCGCAGTTTAAAATGGCTCATGCGACGATTCCCCAACAAATCACTGAAGCAAAATACCATGGGTTCGTAAATGCATATCGTATAGCACGTCCACAAACAAAAACTGAGCCTTATCCCTTATTGACAGGGAGATTGGCAACTCCGTTTCCCTTCTCTCTTCTCTTGTCCGCCAAGTTCTTCACCAAAAGCTCAACCTCACTTTGACCGTCTGTTCCGTGCGGGCTTTTTGTCCTATCGACTTTTGGACCACTGCCATTCTTGCCAATATTTTTGAAGGCTCTCGCCGCGGCCGTAACCGCCTCATCACTTCCACCGCTTCTATCATTTGACGGTCTACCAGCTCTCGAACCAGCAACACTGCTCCGTCCTGAATTATCACGGATGGCAGTAATCACACTGTTGGTCGAGGTGCCACGAGATATTGGTTCACGCTCAGGGGGTGTTTGGAGTGTTGCAGTATTTATGGTTGTAGTTCTAGACTCTGGCCTCAGAGTATTGACGGGTGTGTGTGTTCGAGAAGGAGATACTGTGGAGTCTTTCGAGTGAGTGGTATTTGTCATCGGAGTTTCTGACCGCTCGGTAGGATCAACGGAGCGTCTGTGTCGCATAAGATCATCTAGCATTTTTTGTTTGCTATAGCTCGAGGATTCTCTTTCCACTGAGAGGCTGCTATCATCGCCAGGTTTGAAGGAAAAGCTTAATTGTTGAGGAAGTGGTAGCTTTGTCCTTGTGGGGTCGGTTTTAGCCTTTGCTCTTCTATTTCGATGACCTGGTTTCTCCAAGGCTGGCATATCTGGGAGAGGCTTATCAAGACCAAATCCAAGCCCACGTCCCCGGCTCCGCGTTGAGCCTTCGTTGTAAGAATCGGTACTGCTCATCGCATCGGCATCTGAGCCCATCTCTGATGTTGAGGTAGGATGCGGGAGATCGCGCTTTTGCTCTGCCGGATACGTCCAATGGGAGACGGATGGAACGGAGGTGTCTATTCTAGGGAGGCCCATTGAGTGTTCTGCCATGAAGTTCGGATCTTCTACATTTTGGCCAGGCTGGAGCAGAAAGTGGTTAGCAATCGTTTGCAAACCCATATGCATGATTATTTTCATAGAGTACCGAATTACTCGAGGTCGCTGGGGAGGGAGCCAGCACATACCTCGCCCATCGAGCTTCGCTCAACATGCCTTTCCTTGATGGTGCCAATACTGCGTCTCATCTCATCAGAAGCTCTTTTCGCGCCGTGAACCCGACTATTCGATCGCGCCATGACTACACTTTCCATGCCGCCCTCTGTCTTCGACAACAACACCTCCAGTTTCTTTAACTCCGCTTTATAGTCTTGCTCTTTCTTCTCCCACTGTGTGGCCAAAGCCTCGAACTCTTTGATATCCTTCGTATGGCTCTTCTTCAACTCATCAATGATCTCCTGCTTCGCGTTAACCTGCACTGTCAAATCCTGATATGCCTCAAGAACATGTAGGATGCAGTAGTTATACTCGACAGGAACGGGCTCGAGATTGGATCGAGTCATCATGATAACCTTCAGCGTCTCGGCCATTTGATCATTGGATGGCTTGTGATATAGCATCCCTGGATCCCGTGTTGGGTTTTCAAACGACGCAGTCCCTCTTTGAAAGACATCATGTGTCGCTGTTGGGGGCGTGTTTGGTCGGAAGCCAATATAAGATGATACTCTCGACGACGGACGCATTCTGGTGGTTCCCGTCATGTTGCCCTTTTCCTCGTGGTCGTGGTAATTTTCTTCAGTGGATAGACTTGGCCTGTCGAGATCGAATGCTGGCAAATTGCCTTGAACGGGGGTCCTGGTACGCGTAAAGACTGGTCGCAACCATTCACTCATTTTATGAATTGTATGGCAGGTTTGCGTCTAGTCTACGAGTGTGGGTGGTGAGTTGTTGGGGTGACGGGTTGGATGACGGGGTTGAGGTGATGAAGCAACTGAAGTCGAATGGTTGGTTCGTCATTCTGCGTTGGGAGGAAGGTGCTCTTGGTGAAGACCACATTTCACAATCACAACGATGCCATTTACTATACTTCAAGTGAAGACGATACTCTTTACAGACATAGAGAGTAGTATATGTTGCTTAATGGTCATTCACCTGCAAGCACTTTATCTTCTGAGTTGGCAGATGAGCGACACCTTGAACTTGAATCCTATTAAATGTGCTCTATTTTTGGTAAATCGTGGAGTTGATAAAACGTGGTCTGGGTGAAGGAAACACACCCAATGACTAGAATTCAGTCGCTGTCGTGCCTAAAGGAGCCAACAAAATCATGCGCTCAGAGGTGACGCTTTCCTTTCCCTTGATTAAAAATTGATAACAATCCCCCACCCCGAGTTCTTGTTCATTGCGAACAAATCCATGCTCACGCCAAAGCTATACAGTGGGCAAATGACCAAATTGAAACGCCAATTCAGAAGAGTTTTTAATAGAACAAATCTTCGGCCTTCTGTCTTCTTCGTCCTCTTCCTTCTAAGCCTCCCGAGAACAGCTCCTTTCCTGTATTGTCACCAAAATGGGCCGGAAACAGCTCCTTAACTTGGCCACCCGCCGCACCCTTGATGCTAAATCCTGGAACCGCAGGAGCCTTGGATGCCCCACGGATGCTGAAGCCGGTGATATTGTCCCAGGTGCTTGATGTGGAGTTGAGGCGTTCATCAGATGGTCCATCAACAAGCGGAACAGCCATTTTACTTGCGAAAAGGTCGGCCGTTTCGTCAGCAGCATCAAACGCGCTAGACCGGCGATGACTGGCATTGACTTTTTGAGGGAAGAGTTCTTTTGTAGGAGCAGCTTCTCTCAATTTTGCCTTGATTACCTCCGCCTTCAGTCTGTTTTCGGCTGCAGCACGTGGTTTCCTGATGTACCGGTCTCTGTCGTCTCTCCTATCTCTGCTGTCGTCACGAAGTGGTGAGGCACTCCGGTCTCTCAATCGACCATTGTTCCTGCCTTCGTCGCTTGGGAATAATTCCTTGCCAGCAGCTCCACGGGATCGTACACGGCGTTCTTGAGAATCGCTTGAAGAAATAGAGTATTCCCTTCTTCTCGCGGCTCTTCTTGCCAAAGCGGCGTCATCATCGTCATACAAACTAGCATCAAATCCTGCCTCTTCGTCCCCGCGTACACGATTCCGTTGCTCACGATCATCATAACGCTGACTTTGATATCCTCTATCCTCACGGTCTCTGTATATTTTCCCACCGTTCCCTCCTCTCTTTCGGCGTTCTGCTGGGTCGTATTCGGGGTTGAAAAGATAGAATCTGCTACGCTCACGAGCCCGGGGTTGTTTACGGTCTCCGACAACGGCACGTCGAACTTCCAGACTTGCTTGTGGTTGAGTAGAAAGTCGCTTTGCGGCAACTGACTGTAAAAGTGGGATGAGAATGACATCGGTGACGTCGACTTCAATGAATGCTTTCAGAGCTTCAAGGGCAACCCCCTCGCTTTCGTAAACCAAATTTGCGGAGCTATCATCAATCCATTCCACATGTTCCGGCTTACTTCCTGTGTAATGTTCTGCCGCAAAAGCTCGCACATGGCCGGTGTTCAGGTTATCAAGTCCTCGAATGTGGACTTTGTTCGGTACAAGCTCGAGGGATGCAGGATCGGTCTGGGTATCCGGTGCATTGAGAATTGGGGTTTCACTCTGGCTGTTGGACTAACAATGCGCGAATTAGTCAAAAGGTGAAAAAACCCCCGGAAGCATTGTAGACTCTTACATCGATTTGAATATCGTCAACTTCAGGAACTGCAAAGTCGTCGGCAGATACCCCGATGTCGAGATCCATATCAATATCCATGTCGTGCGCCATACTGACGGAATAGATGCGCGGTCGAGGGACAGTGACAATTGAGGTAGCGATACCGCAAAGCAGTACCCCGGAGTAGGTGCCGCGAGCAAGGAGAAGAAGCTGTCGGCGCTGCAGGCTTCTATGTGAAGATGATTGTTGCGCGCTTGTGTGTATGGAGAGGTTGAGATGGTGAGGCGCAAGTCCCGATTGAGGAACGGGTGGTAGGTAGGTAGGTGATAGCACAGGCGAGGCTGCGATTAGATCAAAGGTGAAGGTTTCAAGGTCAGAAAGATGGCATAAAGGTGATTCCACAAGGACCCCGGTGAATATATCAGATTTTTATCTGAGGAAAGACAATTGATGGATATGTGATATGAAGTCAGGGTCCTGAGGTGCCGTCCAAAGTAAGTTGACAGGCGATGAGGCTGAGATCGTTGGTTGGCTCTGGCGTTGGCGCAACCGGGAAGACAAGTGTCGCTTATAATTATGGGTCTCATACTGTGTCTCCGACGGCATTGAACCCAACCCAACAAAAAAGGCATCTCCACGCCTTCGCATTTTTCGAGCCCTAAATACGAATTTATACAGATTTGTAGTAAGAGGAGGCCTAGCCATAAACACTCCAAGGAGACACACGGAGACCATTGCCAAAAGTGGATTGCTGGATTTCACAACCGTAGCTACTGAAGATCTGGTCAACAGGATGGCAAAAAGCTGAAGATGTTTTGCACCCTCATATCCTAAGGTCCCATCCCAGACCGGGTACATGCCGAAGCGGGGAAGAACTTCTCAAATCTGGAGTTTGGGCGTAGAAGGCGCCGGTTTGAAGGCTATTGAACGAGCCTACGAATTTGGTAGTTTGATGCCCCCCAGTTGAAGCCCAATTCATTCACTTCAACCCCGCACCTCCGTCATTGTTACCATTGGTTTGTATTGCAGCCAACATTCGCTCAAGTTTTCCACATGCGCCGATTTCATTTTCTGTGTTCATGTGGTACAATGACGAAAGGATTTTGGAACCTCGAGCCTCCGCAAACGCAGAACCTATCTCCTGCACCGTTCGGGTTAAAGCTTGACTAGAATCGAGCACTCTCGCGGGGAATTGTTATAACTTGTAATCTTGCGTCCGCTCTGATATCTTGATAATGCTTAGCCATCAAGTGCAATCAATAGTTTTTAACAAGGAAGCATATAGTCATATGGCTAGAACCTGACTAGAATCTGACGACATCTTTCAATAAGATTCAGATTTGATATGAGTAAAGTATAGGCGCTTCTCCTATGAAACTAAAGATCGTACCCTAGTTCTTGTTTGGTATCAGGTAAAACACCCCGTCTGAGACTATTGTTTATCTTGTTTAGTATTTTACATGCAGAAGCAACAATTGCTGGGCTAATAACGATGATACTCAAGTAGAGTGCTTTCACCGTCCTGGAGCACCACATAGGAATTGAACCTATGTCGCCGCCGCTCCTATATAATACAAGAGCGAGTACAGTAACCTGTTAGTACAGGATGTCTACAGATATCGAGTAAAGAAAAACAAATAAGTGGAAACTATCATATAACAAACAATTATATTCTAAGCTAAAGGAGTACTTGTAGAAGCTTTCGAATACTTACTCGAACAAGCCGATCTACTATTTAATAAAATTAATCAAAGGGGCTTAACTTATTCTAACACCGTCTTAAGATTTCACCTAGGTTAAATAAAAAGGCAATATAGCTATAATAGCATTAGTTACAGTTAGTGCTTACGTATAATGAGTGTAGCTTTACATGACTCAAATCATCATTAAGAGTTAAGTTCCACTATCATACATACAGAAACGAGGTCACCGTTCAAGGAGACATTATTGGGCGGTGTCATGTGTACTTCTTGTATGCGCTCAGTTGTTTTCGGGATCAAATGCTGTTCGGGTATTGGTTTCCTGTATGGTGATGTCATGTCAACCTTCGATAGTTACATTTTTGAGCTGAAAAAAGGAAAGCGTTTACTCGAGCTCGTACGTGAAGGATTTGACGTACTGTAGTATTGAAGCGAATATTTACGTCTTGTTTCCATATCACTGGTTCTAGAAAGGATGATATACTAAGGCACACATTCAGCTAGCAATTTATATTGTCTATCTCAGTCTTGCCTGTGATGAGTAACTTGAATGACAGAGTGAGTAGTAATGAAAGTTTATATTCTCACTCTAATAGTCACTTCAGACAGTGAAATGCATTCTTCCACCCAAAGGTCTGATTTCAAACCATATATTTTTGTGAGATACTAGTACAATTCCCAGACTATTCCACTGCCACACTTATCCATAGAGAATGATGATGCCGGTACCCCTGTATGCCTCGACGCCATTTACGACCGTGAATTCAGCAGCGGGAATATCGACTGCGCCCGTTAGGGCAGGAGTTCTCCCTTTGTCGCTTGCAGAAATCTTAAACACGCCATCAGCGCCTCGGGCGGCACTCCAGGCTAGGGTTCCACAGTAAGTTTGGCCAATGTTGGGGAGCTTCTTGTAGGTGGCGCCGTTTGCATCAGTCCCAGTGAAGGCTGTTTCCTTTGCAGAGCACGGTCGGGCGCCGTTCAGATTGAACGAAAAGCTGTATGTTACACTTAGGTTAGCTACAGTCGATCTATATGTGCTAGCAAAGAGTCCATTCATCGGCATTATCACCCCGGAAATATGGCTACCTACGTGCAAGAGTCGCTGTCCGCTGCGCAGGATGCCGCAAAGCCCTGGAACTCGAAGTTTTGGGCCAACCCTTGGCGTTTGTTGACGACGCTCGCGGCGGCGACGCTGACAAGTGCAGTAACGGTGGCAATGGTGAACTTCATTTTAACTAAGTCGTGAACTTTGTTGAGTGAGAAGAAGAATTTAATTGTGGACAGAAAATTGGGTGGGTGTACTGAGATAATCTACAAGAAGATGGAGAGCGATAAAGGGGAAGAACTTGTAGTATTGAAAGGGAACTCGTTGTTATTATAGGGCAGAAACAAGAGGTAGAATCCTGTACTGCCCACGCCAGAAATCACAGCTCTCCTCGGCGTTTCTATTTTAAGATCCATGTGGTTTTGCATATTAAAGGCAATATAGTGGGTTCGGATCGTATTTACATCGGCAACTGATCCCAGCATTTCCGGGTTCGAGTTCGCGGGCGGAATACGGAGGTATTAGCATTTACTATCCCCTGGGAACTATTCTCTCTAACTTGATCACGTTGAGATTCTACCAAATGAAATCCCGACCGATGGCAGCAGCCGTTGCTGTTATGGAAGGGGCCCAAGGGACCTGAATCACAAAGAATTATATTCATTTCGAAGTAACAGTTTTTCCATGAGAACAATAACGTCCGTAAATTACATATACATACCCACCTTTAAGTGTTATGGGGACGAACGAAAACGGATTCCAGCCAATCGTTGGGAAAGGGGCTGAGGGGGGAAGGGGGGGCTTTGCAAAGGTTCAAGGAAACTTTGACGGGAAAGGACCAATGCCTTGTGCTTCGGATTCGCATTTACGCTCAGGGCAAAGAATGGCCTTTTCGTATTGACAACAAGCAAACTTTAAACTTTGGGAAAAGTGAAATCAAGATAAATCTTTCCGAAAGTCCCGTCCGTTAAGAGGGAGAGGATGCTTGGGGTAAATAGGGTGACTTACGCTGTAAAACAGACATCTTATTTTATGACACACTGTTCGTGCTGTTGAGTCGTACTTCGTAAATAGCACCGCGGCAGTGTCCTCAAAGCGAAAGTTGACCCTTGAAACTACTTCAAACCACCTTATTCGTCTCACAGGCAAGACCTCTTTGATGCCAGGAATCAATCTATACATCTGCTCCACTTCAAACTCCCCGAGATGAAATCAGGTGCCTCAATAGCAAGGTAACTTATACTGATACGAGAATCATACTTATGAAGGATTTTGAGATCCTTGAGCATACGACATCATACCAGAACATAACGTAGGCTCGCGGAACCGAAAATTCTATTACAGAATCCCGTTTCACTACAGTAATGCTACAAGATATTCTTTGATTCTAGCTAAGGATATTAAAGTTGATTCGTTACGAAGTACTATAGATACAAGTATTTATTAAGATTACTTTACTATTTAAGCTTTATTAATTATAGTGTTATAGTATCTCCTAGGAAGAATCTAGCCCTGTAGAAGAAATAAGTAAATACTAGATATTTTATATATTATTCTAGACTAATACTACTATATAATCCGGCTTATACTATAATTCTATGTCCTTTAATCTATGTTCGATTCGCTCTTTTATACTTAATCCTTTATCGGACTTCTGTACTTTATAAAAGAAGATATTAAGGAGTAAAACAATTCGGACTTCCATGTTGAACAAATAGAGTTTCATTGGACTCCAGTAGATATTTGAAGGACCTCCAAAATCATGTCAGATCCTGATGTTTATTTACAAGAGGAGATTGTTCCAGTCCGTTTTCAAGAACTTCCTGAGAAACGATAAGTTGCGTGAAACATTAGGCTCGTAAAATCCAAAAAATCAACTGGTGCGCGTTATGCCAGAGTAATATTACTTGTCAAGAGGAGGCTGGTAGAGGAACAGCTATCTTTCACACTATTGTCACAGCCATTTACAGCTATGAGAAATAATGTGAGAAATCCTTTTAGTGACAATAACACTTCTAACCCTTCGGGGGCAAGGGTCAGGTCCCTGACTGAATCCCAGATACAGCCCAATGAGAGTTGGCAATGACTGGCTTTTTGTGCGACGGTCATCGATCATTTGAGGTATGAAAGTAAAACTCATTACTTCCTCACTGGTTTCCGCACTCCTATATGGGAGCCGGCAGTGGCTGACTCCCATCATAGATTTATCGATTATTCTATACTTTTATCTCTTCTAGACCACCGAGCTGCAAAAAAACGTGCATTCCTAGGTGGAGTAAAGGTGTCTACTTTCATAACATTTTCTCCGCAAAATAAAATCATGTGGCCAACCAGACTGTGTTTCCGAGCATTTGAGCCTCGATTTGACCTATTTATCGCATCTACTTATGTCTTCTTCGAGTGCACGCTTTTTTTGCAACTCTGTGGTCTGCAGGTGTTACGGAACATGCCAGGAGCGTACTAGACTGAGCCCCTTAGCTTAGTTAACGTTCCTTCACATACCATGTGGCCCGTGCTTTACCTAAGCGACGTTTCGTAATTAGTCAAAGGAGCCTTCTAGAACCCTCTAACCAATTAGGGTACAATATATATTAGTTAGCTACTACTACTCCTTTAAATAGTATCTAATTTACATTCTAAACATTATACCTTACTTTGTCCCTGACAGCAGGGGATAGTTATCTATATGCCTCTATACCCAAAAATGTGCACTTACATACAGGGAGGGATGGATATAAGAGGATAAAAGGGCAAATGGAATGGGTAGAGGTTAGATTTATAGTAAGTGTACTTACTTAGAGGCGGAGGGGGATAAAGAGACTGGGACATCGGTGGGGACTTACAGGCGCCGTAGCTACAAAAGAGTCGAAGAGCAGGCGGAGAAAGGCTCTGACATATAGATGGGTAGGCTCGGTTAGTCACAAACACTAGTAAAACTCAGTCTAAGGTACTCAGACCAGTAAAAGTACTTGGGAAAACGGAAGTGCCTGGCATGGGGTTGACGGTTCATATACTACATGCTCTTTTGGTTTCCGTGCTTCCACAAGGCGAAGCCTCTAAATCTCTGAGCCCTTCATGTTGGGTGTACAAATTTATACATAGAAATCAATAATTTATGTAAAGGTGTACACGGTCCATGGGGTTCCATGCTGTAAAGAGAGTCCATATATCGGGGAGTCTTTACTGCGACGACTCGTGGGGGTGTAAGAGTAGAAGTGATAGTAGGTGATTCAGGCACGGGAGCAACAGTGGCCTGTTAACAGTTTCTTGCACTTACTTCTTTATTGCTTCCATCAGAAGGCATTTGATTCTAAAAGCCCGGATGAGATTCAAATTTAGCTTGATTGAGAGAACAGGTAATATAAAAACATAGGGTCCTCGTAATAAGAACAAGTTAATTATTGATTAATGCGCGAGCTTTACTACTAATATCTTACGGATAGTAACGTATAAGTAGAAAAATAATTTAAGTATAATAAGGATACATGAGCCAGAATAGCTATATCTATAGAGAAGTACTAACGTTATTAATAATATTTCCAAGTGTTATAATTAATAATAAAAATTATTAACAAAACCTCTCTAGTAGAATATTAAAAATAGTGATTTTTTAGTATATCTTTATAGTTTTATAAAATATATAAGTATTATCCACTTAATTTTAAGAACTATTCGAGAAATCTAGAGATACGCTAAATAGTAGTTAAGAACAAATACACTTATATCTAATGTAGATTTATAAGAAGATATTATTCGGTGGACTTTGAAAAGTATATTAAGGTCCTTAACTTACGCAAAAACATTTTATAAAAAGCCTTTTAGAATAATAATATACTGATTTTATATATCTCTAAGCTAAACTTTTACCTAGAACCATTCGTAAAGGTTAAATAAAAGAATTAAGTTACGCAAAGTACTAAGTTTTCAAAGCGTTTCCTATAATACAATTTATTATAAACATTATATTTCCTTTTCAACTATACGAGAACGTTTAAGAAGTTTTTTTGAACAGATTATTTACAAGTATGGTTGTAAGAAAAAAATGATGTACAATTTTAAACTACCTTAATGTTTTATAGATACATTCTTTTGTTCTAATGGTTTAGATATCTCTTATGAATACAGCAACTTTTGATAAAACCTAGTTGTAATTATAATTATTGGTTCGCTAACCGAAGTTGCAAATACCTTATTGAATCACTAGCTATGACGAGATCTAGAACTTCTTGTAAACATTTCATCAATTCAAATTTGTATCAAGCAAACTATAACTACTTCAAGTGTAAGCGCGCCGGCTTTCATATGTACAACGACCAATCCCGCAAAGAGAAAACAAATTCCACTACTTCTTACTCTGAGAAGAGGTTTCCAGAGAAGGGTTCTTGATCGTTCCTATTCTCTCCTCATACTGCGACGCTTTCCTTCCGTACCTATTCCAGAAATTCTTACAAGAACCAGGACTTTTGTGGTATCCCAGGCGCGCCATTTCTCGGGAAGCATATGCAAACAAACTGACATCCTTCTTTTGGTGTGCCGGCAGCATACCCTCTGCCCTTTCTCTCGCTCGCAAGGTTTGGAGAATCTGAGTAAGTACCGCGAACTCTGCTGTTGAAAACCCACCGCCAATGCTTCCTGTCATGCCCGGGGTAGCGACTGGGGCTGGAGCGGCAACTGGAGCGGCAACTGGAGCGGCAACTGAAGCGGCAACTGAAGCGGCGACTGGGAGAGGCTTTCTTCGTTTGGGTGGGCGAGGTTCCTCATCTTCCTCATCTTCCTCAGCTGGGGCTTGGGCTTGGGCAGGAACTGAGGGAGCCTTTCTTCGTTTCAATGGGCGGGGTTCTTCCTCTTCTTCCTGTGTTTCTACGTCCCGAGGTGCTTTCGCGAGAGAGTGTGTGTTGGGTGGCTGCTTTCTTGGGCGTTTTTTTGACGGTGGTGGTGTAAGTCTTGCGGTCTTTTCTGGCGGCTGTGGTGTGGCATTGTAAAGGTCTTCGTTGTTGAACATATCTTCAACTTTAATCGGCTTTTGGACTGGGGGTTTTTGTGTACCTTTCTGCTTCGCTTGTATCTCTTTTTGCAATTTCTTCAGGTCAGAGATGCGGGCGCGGATGTTTGCGACTGTTCGTCGTTCACTTCGATCATTTTCGAACACAGCGAGAATACCGTTCAATTCCCGCAAATTTGTCTCGATGTCTTTGAGTTTTTCCTTGTCATCGTCATTTTGGTCGTCGTTAGCGTCGTCCTCAGTTTCCTCCTGTGCCTCCAATGGACGTAGCGCAACCCTAGTATGGCGGTTAGCAAATTGAATGTGTGTTCAAGGAATGGGATTTTTTTTGATTATTGAGAAGTGAGAGCATACTCGTCCTCACTTTCGTCTTCTGGGGCCTCCACTGAAGGTAGCGCGAAGCTGAAATGATGGTTAGCTATTGTGTGCTCAGGCAATGAGAAGTGAGAGTATACTCTTCCTCGTTTTCTTCTTCGGGGGTCTCCACTGAAGATTTTGCAAGACTGGAATGGTGGTTAGCTAATGTGTGTTCTGTCAATGAGAGATGAAAGTATACTCGTCTGATTGAAAAATCTCAGGGAACTCTTCATGGATAGCCCTGCTCAATCCGTCGAATTCTTCTTGTGTGAGAGTTTGTGGTGTCGCAAGGGACACCAAGCGAGCATACTGCTCGTCGGTTAAGGTCAAATCTAATGGGCTGAAACTTTTTAGCAAACGTGTGTTAGAAGCGTACATTTGACCTACCGAACAATACTCAAATCTTTCGGGTCTACCGTGCCATCGTGAGAGAAGTCGAAGATCCAATTATCTGGTACGCGATCAAGGACAAAGACGGGACTCCAGGGACGATTTGGAGGAATGGTGTTGGCCATCTTACATACAAAGAAAAGAGAAGGAGAAAAAATATGACCCACACAGTGAAAAGTTCCAGAGAAAAGAAGTCAAGAGAATGAAGATGTGAAGAAGATGTCCCAGAAGAAAAGCTCGCAGGAGAAATGGGAATTAGGAATCCTTATATCTGCTGCACAACAATGATAACCAAAAATTCCATTGCGCACTTTTGAGAGGCGTGATGCTGTTGAAGCAAGCTATTGTGGTTTTCTCCCTCAATTGTGCCCCTTATTGTTGGGTAGGGAAGCTCGGCTAATCCATCAACCCACGTCGCACTGCGATTGTTCACAAGGTTTCTTTGTCCTGTATGCTACAATTGAGAGAGGTCGTCCGCCCAACCTCACGACCCTTCCTCACTTTCGGAGACAATTGAAATGGCGCTTTGCAAAACCCGAACAGCCGAAATCTGGCCTCGCATCGGCCGCTTCTTGAAGGTGAGGAGAAAAGATTTCGCATTGAGAGGATTTTCCATTGTTACAATGGCACTTCATGCACTGCGGTTGTCTTTCCATGGGCTATCGACGGCGTGTGTGATTGGAGCCGTTTAAGTTTTCGAGCACTTTTATCATACCAGGCTCAGAATCTCGCATTTGTTCGTTTTTTGAGCGTTGGGGATCAGTATACTGTACACCTTACCTTTGCCACAGGTCGCCATTGACTTTTGGCCATGAACGCAGTTTCCTCATTTGGAAAAAAAGGTAAAAGTATGATATGCTCACATTCAGCCAAAGTTGAAGAAGACAAAAAGAAAAAAACGTTTTCCATCCCATCGTGCGATAGTTCATTTCTAAATCGCGGCCAGTGGGTGACACTATTCTGAGATCATTGCTATAACTTGGGAAGGGTCTTGATACATAGCACATGTAATTTTGCTACTCTCATTGAGACCCAATCAATTATCCTAGGCCTGCAGCTCACACGTTCCAGTAAGTGATGTTCGTAATGGAGCTCGGGAGGGCAACGACCAAACCACTTCTGGGGCTTGAGCGAGCAGGCACTTTTCAATGACATGGACATCAATCTTGGGCGTGGGGGTCTCCACCAGCAAAGAAAGTGATTTCTGCGGAGGTATATTCCGCTGTAACTTTGGAAACCGAAGAATTTTGGAGTCACGAAGTTGACCTTTCAAGCTAACTAGTGTCAGTTCCTGAAGGGATATCTGCGTTGGGAATTGATAAAATTCGTACCAAACTTCGAGTGCCAAACATCGAACACCAAATCCTGCTAATTCTGCTGCCCAACTACCTTTCCTGTCACTTTTGAGATGCATAGTTATCAGTATTATGATCTGAAAAGTGTCAGAAGTAACCTATCTGCCAAGCCCATTCTTCACAATGAGTGGCTGAAGCAAGATGGCATATTAACCCTCCTGTTCTTCAGCCACATATTTCATCCATTGAAGTCCATTATACGTCATGCGCTTGAAAATCCCTGCTGGCTGGTTTGATAGCAGTGGACTTTCATACTGCACATTCCGTACAATTTTCTCAACTTCAATTACCCCAGCCCCAGTGATGCTACCATAGAACCAGAGGGTCACCAGACCAGGCAACAAAACCGTCATCTGTCTTCAATGGCAGCATCATGTCATACATGCGCGGGCTTGACTCTATGGAGTTGGCTTCTCAATTTCACATGTGGACTCTCTCAGAGAATACTAGCGCCACTAATCTCAACTCGTTCATTTGTATGGGTACCTCTTCGACGACTGTCATGTACGCATCACAATATTGTGGTAGGAAGAGAGCATCATGGAACTGATGGCGCATTATTAGGGTTGAAGTACTGGGCATAAGTGAGCTAGGAGGAATCGGGCACAGCAATCTGGCAGCACATGACAGGTTTGGCATTTGCTGGCCCTGGCCTTTCAAAGACCCCATGCAGATCATAGCAATTTGAAATAGATGGCGAGGGCATCTACTGTATCATAGCTTAGCCAAGCGCATCCCATCTCATGCCGCACAGAAGCACCAGCATGCCGATTGACTAGATGCATAAGAGAGATGGTGCTTGCAATTGATGTGTGTATTATGTAACCTCAGCTGATTCCCGATTTTTCAGAGAAGTCGGAATGACCTCTTGAATACGAGCGCCCAGCAACGGGTAGTGTCCTCTCCGCACAGCGCGAAAACAGCAGTCCTTGCGGGAGAAGCAGAAGCTGTCGTTAAGTAATTTTTAGAGACTGGCGTGGTTGAGAAGAAGAGAAGAGAAGATACGCTGCACGAAAATTTGCAGCTTTTAAACTGTCTCCACCGTGCTAGTCTAGCCGGAGAATAACCGACTGTCACCACGCCAAGACTACTCACGTGTTTGGGGCCAACGACCTCCGGAGGCACGGCCGAAGCCGAAGCCGACGGAGTGAACAGAACACCTTTCGCCCACCTACCTACAGGGCTTTAGGTAGCATATAACGATTCCGCTGACTGACAGTTTGCGCCGCCGTCCGACGAATTGTCCTTTCCCCACACGAACCCTTCACCTGCAACCCTTCTGCTACCTGCATATCTGCATTTCCAAACAATCCGATCCCTCGGGTGCCTCGAAGAAAAAAAGCTCAGGGAGCTATAGGTACTAGCTGTCGAGCTAGCCAGATAGCATACCCACCTCCACCTACACACTCTTGATATCAAATCCCAGCCTTTCGCCCAAGTCTTTACGCCATGGATATCGAGGCCTTGAAGGAACAAGTTGGTTATCCGCCACCAATATAGCCACGGCGCTGACAGTTTTCACAGTGGTCGGAGGTTGAGGATCGGGATGGACTCCGCCTGAGTTGGAATGTGTTTCCCAGTTCTCGTATGGTTAGTCGAGCAATCCACCGCGACAGGGCCACCGGGTTTTGACGATTTACAGGAAGCTTCCCGCTTGGTAGTACCAATCGGTGCCTTATATACTCCTCTGAAAGAGAAACCCGATACGCCAATACTGCAATTCGAGCCGGTTATCTGCAAGCAACCATGTCGATCAGTTTTGAACCCATTTTGGTGAGTTGAGGACAGCAGGATGATTGAGCTCATAGTAATGGATACAATAGCCAGGTAGATGTTCGCGCACGCCTTTGGATCTGCCCTTTCTGCTTGTCCAGAAATCCCCTCCCACCCCACTACAAAGATATCACAGCACAAGCGATACCCCCGGAACTTCATCCGTCCAATACTACGATTGAGTACAGATTATCTCGCCCCGCCCCAAGCCCCCCAATCTTTCTCTATGTTGTCGATACCTGCCAGGAAGAAGATAGTTTGGCGGCGTTGAAGGAATCTCTTGTGATGAGCTTGAGTCTCCTGCCAGAAACTGCCTTGGTCGGTTTGGTAACATTCGGGACCATGGTACGTTGATTCAAGTATGTTCGCTAGTGAGACTTACAGAAATTGACTCAAATAGGCCCAAGTTCACGAAATCGGGTACACAGAATGCCCTAAGTCATACGTTTTCAGAGGCAGCAAGGAGTATTCGGCGAAGCAAGTTCAGGAAATGCTTGGGCTCGTGTCTCCAGGACTAAGACCCGGCATGCAGCAACAACAACCGGGCCGCCCCATGCCACCCATGGGACCAGCTGCTCGATTCCTATTACACGTTTCACAATGCGAATTCCAGCTCACCAAGGCTCTGGAGCAGCTACAAAAGGATCCTTGGCCAGTTGCTACAGATAGAAGAAATCTGAGATGTACCGGAGTGGCTTTGAGCGTTGCCGTAGGTCTTTTAGAGTCATCCTTCCAAAACACCGGTGGTCGTATCATGCTTTTTGCAGGAGGACCAGCTACTGAGGGTCCTGGTTTGGTGGTTGGCCCAGAATTAAGAGAACCTATCAGATCTCACCATGACATCGATCGTGATAATATCAAATACTACAAAAAGGCACTGAAGGTTAGTCGAGTTGGGCACCTTGTATGTGAAGGTTCTGTGCTAATACTTGCCAGTTCTATGACAATCTTGCCAAGAGAACTGCTCATAATGGACATATTATCGACATTTTCGCTGGATGTCTAGATCAGGTTGGGCTCCTGGAGATGAAGGGACTTTCCAATTCGACGGGTGGGCACATGGTTCTGACCGATAGCTTTACCTCGTCCATGTTCAAACAGTCGTTTGTTCGTATTTTTGAGAAGGATGGAGATGATAACCTCCTCATGGGTTTTAATGCATCTCTCGAGGTCCTTACCACCAAGGAGCTTAAGGTAACTGGATTGATTGGTCATGCTGTATCAATGAACAAGAAGTCTACCTCGGTGGGAGAAACGGAATGTGGAATTGGAAACACATGTTCGTGGAAGATGTGTGGTATTGATCCAAACGCAAGTTATGGTATCTATTTCGAAATCACGAGCCAAGGTGGACCAACCCAACACCAACAATCACCACAGAAAGGAATGATGCAGTTCTTGACATATTATCAACATTCATCGGGCCAATTCCATCTCCGAGTTACCACTGTCTCCCGGAACCTAAGTGGACCTACTGGAGATCCAGCCATTGCCCAATCCTTCGATCAAGAAGCTGCCGCAGTCCTCATGTCGAGAATAGCAGTTTTCAAAGCGGAAGTTGACGATGGCCCGGATGTCCTTCGATGGGTGGATCGAATGCTAATCCGACTATGTTCACGATTCGCCGACTATCGAAAAGATGATCCATCCTCTTTCCGACTGGAAAAGAATTTCACACTTTACCCACAGTTCATGTTTCATCTGCGTAGGAGTCAATTTCTTCAGGTTTTCAATAATTCGCCCGATGAGACAGCATTCTACCGACACGTTCTCAATCATGAAGACGTCAGTAATTCACTCATCATGATTCAGCCAACCCTGGACTCTTATACATTCGACCAGGATGGCAGTCAGCCAGTCTTGCTTGACTCGACTTCCATCCAGCCAACGCATATTCTCTTGCTGGATACCTTCTTCCACATTCTGATCTTCCACGGTGAAACTGTTGCCGAATGGAGGAAAGCTGGATATCAAGATCAAGAGGGGTATGAGAACTTCGCTTCTCTACTGGAGCTACCGAAAGAAGACGCGAGAGTAAGATAATCTCGATCAAAATATCTGTTTATGAAGCTAACAATATACAGGACCTCATCACGGACCGTTTCCCACTTCCTCGTTTCATTGTTTGTGACGCTGGTGGATCTCAAGCACGATTCTTGTTGTCCAAACTCAACCCATCTACCACACACACCACGGGCGCATATGGCGGAGTTGGTGCCCAGACTGCACAAACCATCTTTACAGATGATGTGTCTCTACAGACATTCATGGACCATCTTATGAAGTCAGTTTAATAACACCTTTGTTATTGAGCATCTGCTAATATTATGATAGACTCGCGGTTAGCGGAACAAATTAAGGAGCAATCTTGGAGACGACCTGATAAGAACCGAATTCTGCTGGCGTGAAATGCAGGGACGCTTTTGGCTTAAGTGACACAGATGCTTACCTAGCTATCACGAGTCTTGTTGGCGGTTAGTAATAGCGGACATCCATGTTGGTTCAGGGGTGTAAAAAGTGAGGACTTCGTGTTCTCCAGACGCGAGTAGAACTCTAGAAGTAACAATGAGCATGAACCGCGGCAATGCCTGTATTCTCAACTATGCTGATGCTCTGCTCCGTGATCGTAACTCTACTAATGTGTTGGCTTTGACTCTCAAGTCGACGACACGCGCTTGCCTTATACTATCTCGGCTACGGTTCCTTTTTCCTACCGTAAGATCTTACGCAGCAGAGCCTGGTGGTAACACTACAAATTAGTGACCGTGGTCTCGAGAGGCCTGTTTTCATACATCCTCACAAGCCTTTTGGACAGATCGAATATCTATAAATCAATCGCGGATTTTGGAGGAATGATATTCATTTTCCGAGGATTGCAGAAATATTTGGGGCTGGGTAACACTGCTTAGTAGTCTAGCTCCTGGTGAACAAGAAAAGTAGTAGAGGATCCTTGTTCGTTAGCGTAACCTAATTCAATTTTGGAAAGCGTTCAGATTTTCTGGTTACTTGGACTAATCATAAGAGGAAAAAATACTACGACAATTGGCGTAATGTTCTGAAATATTTGAACACATTCAAGTCCAAAATCAATTGGTGGTAACGATTCGGCGTTAACCTGCTTCGGCGTTATCCGATAAGGATAAGCGAACTGGCACGTGCACCCGCACTTTGATACAGCTTTTGGATTGAAGTCCAAAATCTGTGCCAGAAAATCAACACCAAATTTCGACAAATCACCACAATGCGTGAGTTTCCTTGGTACACCAGAGGTTATTGAATCGAAGTTGACAATGATTCTACAGCTCCAAAGCTAGACCCCACAGAGATCAAGGTGATGTAAGTCATCCCCCGCGCGGCAAGTCGTGCGATCTTCAAATCCTGCCCTCAACCCAACCCACGATATACACTTACGCGCGCACAATACAAATTACTGATCCATTCGTCGCAGCCACCTTCGGGCCACCGGTGGCGAAGTTGGTGCTTCCTCCGCTTTGGCGCCCAAAATTGGTCCTCTTGGTCTTTCCCCCAAGAAGGTCGGAGAAGATATCGCAAAGGCAACGGGTGACTGGGTGGGTTGATACATAGCCGTTTTTGTTGCTTTGGAATTGGGATTTTGACTTTGGTTTTTGCAGAAAGGTCTCCGTGTCACAGTAAAGCTCACCATCCAAAACCGTCAAGCCGCTGTCTCCGTCGTTCCCTCCGCCTCATCGCTCGTCATCAAAGCCCTCAAGGAGCCACCCCGCGACCGAAAGAAGGAGAAGAACATTAAGCACACAAAATCCATTCCTTTGGACGAGATCATCGAGATCGCCCGAACAATGAGATTCAAGTCACTGGCAAAGGAACTTAAGGGTACCGTAAAGGAGATTTTGGGCACTGCGTTCAGTGTTGGATGCCAGGTTGATGGAAGAAGTCCAAAGGATGTCAGTGACGATATCGAGAGTGGAGAGATTGAGAGTAGGCTTCCCCCAAGTATTTGCATGGCTAAATGCTGACACCTCTTCCAGTTCCAGATGAGTAAACGATGAATATGGGTTTCTTTTGCAAGGTATCATGGGCTTGAGACTTCACAATAGGCTGTGCAAGCAATGCCACTTTTTCTTCCACCACCTTCCGAATGCTCTATTGTGAACTGTGTACGTTTGGTGCAAACTTCGCCCTGGTTAGGGAACATCGTGACACACGCCTGCCAAACACTCTGGCCCTTACCCCCCTTCCCTCGAGGATCGGTTCAATCTGTGGTATCGGCCTATTTTTGAAGCAGGTAGATTGAAGACCTTCTACTCACCGCGTTGTCTGTCCTCCATGGACCTCGAGGTCCATATATTTCGGGACAACATGCCAATCGAGGTGAATTGAAGACGGAAGATCTGTCTGCTCCGTAGATACTAATGTGGAACGTGGCACGAAATGGTCGCCCGGAGGTGTGTTTGTAATGCGGCGCAGGCAGCCGTGCCGTGTCTGCTGGTCTTTGCAATTTTCCTTCGGAGCATTCTCTGTAGAAACTGTTTGGAGTTCTGGTGGTAGGTAGCACTAAGTGACGCTTTTGGGTTTGCCTTTGGGAGGGTGTGAACATCAAACATCTATGACAACAGCAATTATTCTAGAAAACATACGCATTCTCCCCACCACTTTACTAGACTTTGATGATTGTTCGGATACCTCATAATAATTTTCTCTCCGAAGGAACCCGGACGCCTCTTGAGCGCATGTGGCTATGTCAGCCAGCCAGCCCAGCCTATAAGCATAAGCGCCTGGCGTGCCGACAGATCTTCCAACCTCGAACCTGAACCCGCATCTCCACGAACATCGATTCTTGCTCCCTCATCTCTGCACGCCCTCGAGAGCCCATTTACCGCGCGAACGCATACCATATCTGCGAGGAAGCAGAATCTCGGACGCCCAACCTGGGCTGCGGCGCATCACGGCAGAGATGATCAAAAGATCAATTTCTCCTCTCCGGTCAGGAATCGGCACCTCTTGGAACTGATGCGCTGACGAGCTCTTCCGCCGCCCTCAATTTTTGCATAAGCAGACGAGCATCAGTCTATATATTCCTTTTGCGCGCTCCCTCTCCCCCCTTCTCGTTTTCGCTGCGGCAAGCGACTGAATATGATTCCCCAGCTTGCTCATCCTCGACACCTCTCGCAGCATCAGCAGTTTGGCAGCCCTAGCTTTGCGGTCCCGCCATTCGAGCCCCTCCATAACCCTCGACGGCAAGACCAGTCTGCCTCTCTGCCTCGACCGCTACCTTTTCGCAGTGCTCGATCTTTCGCCTCTTCTTCTGCTACACCATTCCCCCGTGCATACCCCCTCTATGATACGCGCCGCGCCGGCTTGGCCCGGGAGAGCTCAAATGGAGGAGCCTTTCGATCCTCTTACAACGACCCTTCGGAGCATATGCTTCGACGGAAGACCCCGAATGGGACACTGGCAGCAGGATACGATGGTACGCCCGTCCAGTGGTCTAGTAAACCGCCTGCTTTGAAGCATGTTGTCCTTCCTCTATCGGAGGGCTCAGCCAGCCGGACCAACAACTATTCTCTTGCTGCCTCAAACAATTCGAGTTCATGGCAGAGACCCGAGGCTTCGGGATGGGCATATCAACAAACACCCCAGTATGGTGGCATGAATGCTGGCATAGGGGAATCGCGAGGGGGCGGGGCGACAGAAAAGTGGTCACAATTATCCCCTCTCCCCTCAATTTCCTTGAACTCCTGGGAGAATATGGATATGCAACAAACCCCAACCTACTACCCATTGAATAGTTCACAAGTGCCAATAGTTCTCCAGCCTTCATTCCAACCATCACCAGGACCTACAGCATCGAACGACGGCGGTTTGTATGGTCCCTACTGGCCAGATGGAAGGTATGTTCCATATCGCCCTGCGGCCTTTCGAGGACCGGGTGGACACCATGTCAATCAAGATTTGTACAACAATCATGAACTTCAGAGCCAATCCCATTTCCCGCTCGAGTTTTCCCCCCCCTTTCGGCCTCCACCGATTTCGCTTAAAACGGAACCAGTTCATCCCGTAGGAAATTCGCTCTTCAATTCCCCTTATCCCGACGCCAGCATACATGGTCAAGATCAGCGTTATAGTATTCCTACACAACTTAACCCAATCCAATTCGAAGGCTCTCTCTATCCGCTAAACTCTGAGGGGTCTAGAACACCAACGGCAGAATCGACCAGTAGAGCCAACAACAATCATAGATTCCCAGAAAAGACCCTTTCATGGGCTCATACAATATATGTTGACCTGCTAGCTTTCATTCAGCGGTCGAAAAAAGAGAGTAGGTCGGCAAATCCATCTCATGGTTCAAAGCCCTACGGCAAGGCCAGTTACTATCCAAAACCCCCCCGTCAACCAGCGTCTTATTTAGGGAATTCTCAGTGGGCAGGTCTGAACGGAGACACAAATGATGCAAACAACATTCGGCGGCCTAGTCAGATATCCCGGCCAGCTCCTAGACAATTTGTAAATCGGGAGTATAACAGCTGGCCAGGGGGTAGCTCGGGGCAAATACCACAGATAGCATCCGCTAGCCAGGAGCTAGGTCCACATACCCCTTCGTTTCAGCCGCTGCACCACCTCTCAGGCTCTCCTATAAGTAGGGCGAAAGAAGCACTTGATCTCCTCACAAGTTTGTGTGAACAAAGTGGCTGGTATTGGATCGACGGTATGCTGCTCGGTGGGTGTCTAGCTTACGGATTGGAACAATATCATGATGCTCTTGATTGGTATTCCAAGATTATTGCTTTAGACTCCAAGTAAGTTCCTTGTTCCTTTTTTTATATCTTCGCTGTGGGATGCAACACTAATCATCAAACTAGGCATGTGGAAGCGATGTCAAATCTTGCTGCCACTTTACTGTGCCTCAATAGACGTGAGGAAGCTGAGCGACATTGGTTGCAATCGGTTAGACTTCGACCGAGCTATTTTGAAGCAGTAGAGCATCTCATTGGGTTGCTTTGTGGAAATAATCGCGGTGAAGAGGCTGTTGTTATTATTGATTTTGTAGAACACGCACTCAGATTGCCAAAACCCGAAGAATCACATGACCATACCAGCGAAACGTCCAGCAACGCAGACCGTGAGTCTTGTGCATCCATGGGAACGTCCTCAGAGAATATTGCTCTGGATTATGATCGCGATAGCGAAAATATTTATCAAATGCCTCGTGTTCGCGAGATTGAGGATGTTTCCCTGGAGCCGGGTTTTGGCTCGAGTGGCTTTGCGGTGCCTGGCTCGGAAAATGGACGAATTCTGGCTCTCGTACACGCCAAAGGGAACATGCTGTACGCACTTGGCAAAATAAATGCAGCATCCAAAGCTTTCGAGGATGCAGTTCTCATCAGTGCTGGTCGAAGTTTTAACGGAATACCTGGTCTCATAGGACAAATTGTCAGCACACTATCTCAAGATGAGCAGGTCGGTATGCCAGGAGAGTTCAGACAGCGACCAGTTCCAGATAGACAAGCTCCTTTATTACTGCCTCCGCCTAAAGCTTTGCAAACAGCAAGACTGGTCTTTGCCAAAAACGGGGAGTTGCCTGGACTCCGCTATGTCCTAGAAGGTCTTGCCCGAAAGGCTGCCATATCAATCACAAGTAACTCCCTTCTGTCCCTGGCCAAGATCTTTCAAGATGCTATGTCTAATAGTAGTTTATCGCAACGGATTTCGCGGATGCCCTCGGGCGTTGGCGATATATTGGCGCTCTACTATCTTTCTCTCTCTCTACAACCCAGCCCATCAACTGCGAACAACGTTGGAATATTACTCGCTAGTGTTCAACATCCTTCGGCGTATCGATCCGCTATTCAGAGAGACCCGGCGGCCATGCCAGTTCTACAAGGGATGGGTGCGGTTCCAATAGTTCCTGGAAGTGGTATAGCTTTGGCCCTTGCTTACTACCACTACGGGCTCAGTCTTGACAATCACCATGCACACATTTACACAAATCTTGGAAGTCTGCTCAAAGATATTGGAAAACTTGACGCTGCTATTTCCATGTACGAGAAAGCAGTTGAATGTGATAGCTCGTTCGACATAGCTTTAGCCAATCTTGCAAATGCGGTCAAGGACCAAGGCCGCACCAGTGATGCTATCACTTTTTACCGTCGCGCTGTTGCTGCTAGTCCTGATTTTGCCGAAGCCGTATGTGGTCTTGCAAACGCTCTCAATTCCGTGTGCGACTGGGCTGGACGTGGCGGAGTCATTCTCGATAATGGAAGGCAAGACCGTTGGCATATTGATGAGAAGGGCATGTTTATTGAGGCTAGAATGAATGGAAATGGCGGTGGCTGGATGAAGTCTGTGGTCGACATCGTTACGAAGCAGCTCAAGGAAGGTTCAGCTTGGGGGCGTGGGACTCTACAAGAACAAACGCTTCATCAGCTTCTCGGACAACTAGAGATCGCTGATACCGGCGGACGATGGATGGCAGAGAAGAAAAGCAACATTCAGATTGTCCTTGGTCGTTGGGCAGGCCATCGATGGGAAGGATCCCGCATTGTCCGACTCATCGAGCGATCCATAAAGAGAGCAATGCATCGATGGTATCAGGACAAACATGTCCAAAATAAGCAACTTCCAAGCTCCTTCTATCCCAGACCACAGCTACCCGGTAGCCTGTCTGTCCCAACAGCACCTACTGTTCTACCTTTCCACACATTTACGTGTCCGTTATCCGCTAAGGACATTCGTATGATCTCGCAGCGCAATGCTCTCAGAATATCTTGCTCGACACTTCGCGCTCCATGGATGCCACCATCGGTGTTTCCACCACCATCTCCCCCAACCCCCCATCTCAACATTGGATACGTGTCTTCCGATTTCAACAACCATCCTCTAGCTCACTTGTAAGTGCCTCAAATACTGCTGCTGTCTGACATTCGTGTTAACATATATCCCTAGAATGCAATCTGTTTTTGGATTCCATGATCCTTCTCGAGCGAAAGCTTTCTGCTATGCTACTACAACCAGTGACAACTCCGTGCACAGGCAGCAGATCGAACGGGAGGCACCAGTTTTCCATGACGCCAGCACTTGGCCAGCTGATCGCTTGGTCAACCAGATTGTCCATGATGAAATCCATATATTGGTTAATCTGAATGGTTATACCAGAGGTGCCAGAAATGAGGTTTTTGCCGCCCGGCCAGCACCTATTCTGATGTCATTTATGGGCTTCGCGGGTACATTGGGCGCCGAATGGTGCGATTATTTGTTGGCTGACGAGGTAGCTATTCCACCAAGCACACTTCGTCCTTGGAGACGGAATCTTGATCTGGAAGATCAGGTGCTAGATCAGCAATCGCACGAAGATGAGGATTGGGTGTATTCCGAGAATATCATCTTTTGCCGCGATACCTTCTTCTGTTGCGACCACGCCCAATCGGAGCCCTTGGGGCGGCGATTGACCTGGGAAGAGGAACAAACTAAACGGTGGCAAATGCGAAAGGAAATATTCCCCGATATTTCAGACGAGACAATTATTCTTGGTAATTTCAACCAGTTGTATAAGGTTAGTGGTTCACTGCTTCAGTAAAATTGTAAATGCGAAATGCTAACTTGCTGGTAGATTGAGCCCACCACGTTCCGCACGTGGTTGAGAATATTGGATAAAGTTCCAAATGCTATACTTTGGCTACTTCGTTTTCCGGACTTGGGTGAGAGCAATCTGAGGCGCACTGCTAAGGATTGGGCAGGAGAAAGCGTCGCAAAACGTATTAGATTTACGGACGTTGCGCCCAAACATTTACACATTTCCAGGGCCCGAGTCTGCGATCTCTTTCTGGATACTCCGGAATGCAACGCGCATACGACGGCGGCAGATGTTTTATGGTCAAGCACACCCATTCTTACATTTCCTCGATACCAATACAAGATGTGCTCTCGTATGGCAGCCTCCATCCTGAAGGGTGCTCTTCCTCGAGGAGAAGCAGGAAACCAGGCTGCCAAGGAATTAATTGCTAAAGACGATGATCAATACGAAGACTTTGCTACGAATCTTGCTCTAAGTATGTCCTTCCGAAGGCTACCTTGTGGTCAAATGGAAGGCTATGGCAGACTTGTAGAGCTCCGAAGGTTGTTATTCGATAGTCGGTGGACCTGCGCCTTGTTTGATACAAGGAGGTGGGTGAGAGATTTAGAATTGGCATACAGCGAAGCGTGGCGTAGATGGGTTGCCAACGAAGGCGGAGATATTTACTTATAGAAAACCTGGGTTGGCTGGAGTTAGATGGTTGGGTTGGGGACGGGGGGGCTGC